AGAGCCTGCTTGGGATTCTCTCTCAAAAATAAACACTAAAGAAAAAAAGAAGGGAGGTCTTGTGGCGGGTAGCACTTCGGTCTGTAGAGGTCGGACGGCATCCTACCTGCAATGCCCAAGTTCACAGGCATCCCTGCTCGCGTGCAGAAGCAGCAGACTGGTGCAGTTCTGCCCGACTCGGATCCTCAACAGAAGACCGTCAGCAGTCCGGGAAGCCTGGTCTGTCCCTGCCCAGACAGAGGAGCTGAGCTCTAAAAGCAAGAAAAACATAAGAAACATACATCCTACCAAGACTGAATCACCAGGCAAAAATCTCCCCATGAACAACAGCTGGGACCAGGTGGCTTCACTGGTAAATTTTACCAAAGAAGAAATAATGCTAATCCTTCCCAAACTCTTCCAAAAAAATAGAGGAGGGAACACTCACAAACTCGTTTTTTTTTAATTTTTTTTACCTTTATTTTTGAGAAAGCATGCAAGGGGGAGGGGCAGAGAGGGAAACAGAATCCCAAGCAGGCTCCAGGCTTTGTCAGCACAGAGCCCGACGCGGGGCTCGAACCCACAAACCGTGAGATCATGACCTGAGCCGAAGTCGGATGCTTCACCGACTGAGCCACCCAGGCCCCCACAAACTCATTTTTTAAAGTAATCTCCATGCCCAACATGGGGCGTGAACTCACAACCCCAAGATCAAGGGTCACGTGTTCTGCCTGAGCAAGCCGGGTACCCCCCACAAACACATTTTAAAAAGCCAGCATTACCCTGATCCCAAAGGCAGAGTCCCTGATGAATATAGATGCGAAAATCTTTAAAACTAGCAAAGAGAATTCGGCCCATTTAAAGGATCATTTGCTGGGACACCTGTGATTTATCCCTGGGATGCAAGGCTTTTCTGACACATGCACGTAACCAACATGATACACCACAATGGACTGCGATCATACAGGTTTGGTTTTCTTAGACAAAAGCATCTGACAAAATTCAACATCTGTTCACGATGAAACCTTAAATTAGATCTGGAAGGAATGTCCTTCCGCTATCATACGTGGACAGCGTACAGGCTATTATCAGGGTCACAAGGAAGACGGGGGTGGGGCACCTGGGCGGCTTAGCCAGTTAAGCGTCCGACTTCAGCTCAGGTCATGATCTCGCAGTTCATGAGGTCGAGCCCCCTTTCAGACTCTGTGCTGACAGCTCAGAGCCTGGAGCCTGTTTTGGAATCTGTGTCTCCCTCTCTCCCTGCCCTTTCCCTGCTCACCCTCTCTCTCAAAAATAAGTAAACAAAGAAGAAAAAGAAGACGGGGTAATCACTATTTGCACACAAGATGAGAAGTTTGAGCCAGAGCAGTTAAAAAGCAAGAAAAGGCATCAGAATTGGAAAAGAGTAAGTACAATAGTCTTTATTTGCACACAATGTTCTCATAAACAGAAAACCCTAAAGATCCACCAAAACCGGTTAGGGCTAACGGACACAGTTGCGAGATAAGAAACCAATGCTCAAAAAGCAGTACTTCTACATACTGACAACAAAGCGTCTGAAAAATAAAGATGATCCCATATTTATAACACCAAAAACAAAGTACCTGCGATTAAATTTAATCAAAAAACACAAAGATTTCTACACTGAAGACTACAAGACACTGGGGAAAGACACGGAAAACATAAACAGAAAGGTATCCTGTGTTCATGGATTGGCAGAATTAATGATGGCAAAACCCATAATCTGTAGTCCTCTTAAACCTGGTACCCATCCTGCCTGTCCAGCCTTGTCTCTCGTCTCAGTATTCACTTTCTCTTTCCAAAAATGCCTCATCCATTTTTGTCTTTCTTCATATTTCTCCCTCTGCCTGGAAAATACCTCTGTTCTCCAATTCAGCATACTCTAATCCTACTTAATCCTTGATAGCCAACAGTAGACAAAAATCAATGACATTGACAGACTACAAAACCCAGAAATGGACCCACACCTATATGGTCAGCTCATCTTCGGCAAAGCAGAAAAGAATACACAATGGAAAAAAGTCTCTTCAACAAAAAGTGACGGGAAAACTGGATGGTTGACATGCAGGAGAATGAAACCGTACCACCTCTTTTTTTTTAATGTTTGTTTCTGAGAGACAGAACGCGAGTGGGGGAGGGGCAGAGAGAGGAAGACACAGAATTCGAAGCAGGCTCCAGGCTGGAACCAACGAGCTGTGAGAACATGACATTAACCAAAGGCGGACACTTAACTGAGCCACCCAGGCACCCCCTGTACCACTTCCTTACACCATATACAAAAATAAATTCAAAATGGTTGAAAGGCCTAAATGTGAGACAAGAAACCACCAAAATCCTAGAGAACACAGGCAGCAACCTCTTTGACATCAGCTGTAGCAACTTCTTAGTAGACGTGTCTCCAAAGGCAGGGAAACAAAAGCAAACGTGAACTATTGGGACCTCATCAAGACAAAGACCTTCTGCCTAGTGAAGGAAACAATCAACAAAACTAAAAGACGACCTACTAAATGTTAGAAGATGTTTGCAAAAGACAGACCCAATAAAGGGATAGTATCCTAACTCTATAAAGAACTAATCAAACGGGCAGAAGACATGAATAGACCTTTTTCCAAAGAAGATATCCAGATGGCTAACAGATGTCACACATCTCAAAAAAAGTGTCCTATATATATATACTTACATATTTTATATATATACACTTACATATATATATTTTTTTTTAAGTGTATTTATCTTGAGGGAGACAGAGAATCCCAAGCAGGAGCCACGCTGTCAGCACAGATCCTGACATGTGGGGCCTGAGTCCATGAACTGTGAGATCATGACCTGAGCTGAAATCAAGAGTCCGACGCTCAACCAACAACCTCCCAGGCACCCCTCAAGTGACTTACTTTAAAAATCTGCATAGGGGCCCCTGGGTGGCTCACGTGCTTAAGCATCAGACTTCGGCTCAGGTCTTGATTTCACAGTTAGTTCATGAGTTAGAGCCCAGCATCAGGCTCTGTGCTGACAGCCTGGAGCCTGCTTCAGATTCTGTGTCTCCCTCTCTCTCTGCCCCTCCCCAACTCGCATGCACTCAAACATCAACATAAAAAAAAAAAAAAAAATCCGCATATACTGGTCTCACACAGTATGTGTGTGCTGTTCAAGGCTCATCCGTACCATGTGTAGACCGCCACCCAGGCCTCCAACAATCTACACTTCACTGAGCCTAAATTTGCACCGTTTACAAGTCTCCTAGGGTTTTAAGCATTAATTAAAGCAATTAACAAAGCATCTGACATTTGCCTCTTGGTTCAAGTACACCTGTTATGATTATCATTGTTAGGAGAGCAAAAAGGAAGCGACTAAAACCGACTCACCCTGATCTAGGCGGACAGGACTCAGCAAGTAGATAAAATGTGAATCACGTTACCACTTAATATTTTTACCGAACACAAGACGTTCTTACACATTACAATGGGCTAGCTGAACAAAGCCAAGACAGATAAACTTTCAAATACACAGAATTCAAATTTAAACACTTGGTTCTTATGCTGGATCACAGTCCGTGCAATTTTTAAAAATATTAACGCAACTTACTAGAATAATTTGTCCAAAAAGCACAGGCTAAGGAGCCAGGCAGACCCATGTTCAAATTTTCCTTTATGGCTGTTGACAGGATTCGGGCTAACGTGCTTCTCGCACATTGCTTTGTCTTCGAGGGCCACCGTAACAGAGCGCCAGACTGAGTGACTTAAACAGAAACTTACTTTCTCACCGTTTCTGGAGTCAACAGGCTACAAGATCTGGTTTCTTCGGAGGCTTCTCACCGAGACTGCTGATGGCCACGTTCCTCTGCTATCTCTGGGTGTGTCTGCATTCAGATCTCTTGTGAAGACACCAATCCTCCTACACTTGGGCTCACCGGACCTCACTTTGCCATCATTACCTCTTTAAAGGCCCCACCTAGAAATACACTTCCATTCCCAGGTACTAGGGAGAGAAGGATGGGGAGCATAACAGCCCGGGACCGCATCCTAATTGTTTAAAGAATACAGCACTGAGCCTGGCACACAGTGGATCCTCAACATATACAGCAGCGATCAAGCAAAAGAAACAGAACAGTTTCTAAAATGATTTAATGTGCTCTCAACTCCTTCTGGAAGGGCAGGGACCGACTTACCTGCAGACACACGCACGCGGACCTACCAACTCCATCAGCACCTCCTGCTGGAAACAAAGGTGGGAAGAGACTGGAGGATGGAGAAATCTGGACTCTTCCCAGTCTCTGTCTAAGGGCTCTAAGGAGTTACAGGGTAAGAAGAAACACGGAGCATCTAAAGTATCTGAGCTTTCCATGGGACCTCAGCCATCGACCAGATCTGGGACAGTAAGCCGGGCCCAAGGAGGAGTCCCCCACCACTGCCTGCATTCCCACCTCCTCAGCTCACCAACACCCACGCAGCAAAGCCATCACAGTCGTTTTTAAATCCCAATGCAGATTTACCAAATTTGTTTTAATATGCATTTTAATAATTTCTATAATATAAGGGCACCTGGGTGGCTCAGGTGGTTAAGCGTCCAACTTTGGCTCAGGTCATGACCTCACGGTTTGTGGGTTCGAGCCCGTCAGGATCTGTGCTGACAGCTTGGAGCCTGGAGCCTGCTTTGAATTCTGTGCCTCCCTCTCCCTCTGCCCCTCCCCTGCTTACACTCTCTCTCTCTCTCTCCCTCTCAAAAATAAACATTAAAAGAAAAAAATAGTATCTATAATATAAAAGCAACTAGATACTGTCATCTAAAAGAATTTCATAGATCACATTAAACACTTCTTAGTAATCTGTTTTATGAATTCAATTTTTTATTTAACAGCTAACATCTGAGTGCTTACAGGGTGACAGACACTACAGTTATGTACATTATTAACTCATTTAAATCTCGTAAGGCATATAGAAAATAATTTTTAAGAGAAAAAAATGATGGTGCAATCTTTTTAAAGAACTTTATTAAGATGTTTCTCACAAATTAAGAAAAAGCTTATGTACCAGTAAGAAAAACACACTTATTTCAAAACACAAATGAAAAAACACCAGAGAGAATTTGGCACCAGGATTTGGGGAAAGTCCAGAGCTCCTGGTGTCCGTTTCTTTTACACTACATGCTAATGCAGCACTCAAAGCCTCCAGAAAGAATTCCAACACCAGGCACTGCTGCAGTGACTCCCCAGCGCTGAGGCTACGCCTGTGCTCACACACGTATGGCACTAGGGCCCGTCAAACGGAAACCTCCCCTTTTGTAGCAATAAAGACTAGCATTAAATAGGATAAATGATACTATTTTTTGAAACAAGACCACTAGTACCAAAGCAGATTACAAGTGTCATAATTAAAGAACAATCATTCTTTCTATACTCCGGATGGCTTCAAATGTTCAACAATGTTTTCGACACTTTTCTACATAAGCAAACATACGGTTTTTCTTTTATGAGAGAAAGGTCCGGACGGTGCCCTTGATTATACCCCTGCAAATGGGGCATTTTCTGAGGGAAGGGGCGCAGTCTTGGCACACCACCAGGTGGCCGCAGGGAATGAACACTATGGACACTTCTCGGTCCAGGCACACTTTGCAGGTTCTTTCCTCCTGCAGCCTCCTCAGCTGCTCTTCCAGCGACAGACCTGAGACGAACAGAACACTTGAGTGAAATTCAGTTCCTACTTAATTCCCGTTAGAAATTTTAACCACGGTAGTATTTCAGGTTGGTCTTGGGTCTGAATTTTGTTTTACCTGAAACATCTTCTGTTGGAATATACTTCATATTCTTGTCCACTAAGGAAAGAAAAACAACAAAAAGCATTATTCTACCAAACAGAAGGTGGCTTCACCTGCTCGTTCTGCCCCACCCGCTGTCTAGTGAACACAGGTTCTACCTACAGACTGTCAAGAAGCACGTAGCCCTACTACGTCCGTGATGAAATCTTCCTTTTCTTAGAGCGAGTTACATTTATCGACTACAGTTTGTGAATTACATTTATCTTGTTTGTCAAACTTAAAAGTGAACATCATCTGAAAGGTTTCTAAAATAATTTTACCAAAAACTCACCAAATAAGTTCTTATATAATGTAGGGTCAATTTCTTTTAAGCAGCTTTTGAAGATGTTGGCAGCAGCATTTCCTTTGACCAAAACGGTATCAATCAGTTCTCTTGCTTGCAAAGGTATCTGTGTTTTTTGCTTAATAATTTCATGTTCCTGTTTATTAATGACATTGGCCTTTAAAAGATTATCCAGGATAGGAAGCACACACGTCAACTGTTGAAAAAGAGCCATTCTGTTCCTCCGAATTAATGACAGATCATCTTCATTTAAAAAAGAAAAAAGGAAAAAAATCCGTTAGATTTTAAAACGTTCCAACCGTGTGCACACACACAGTCACTAACAACCAAGCCTACAAACAGTTCAGGCAGTAAATACACAGGAGCTTGAAAAAGAAGCACAAAATTACCTGTTTGCGATTTAATGCCTATCATCTAGAAAACTTCTGGAAGATACAGCTAGGGCATATTGTGTAGCGCACACAACACACAGTGTCTGTTCCTGTCACTTCTAAAAGTCTACATACTTACATGTCTCATGACCCTGCTACCTAAGAGAATTTTAAAGGACAGTAGAAACTTCCCACCTCTACTTCTCCACCCCTCAGCGAAACTGATAATACTGACTTAAGTTTTTTTAACGTTTATTTTTGAGAGATCGCACACACGCAAGTGGAGGAAGGGCACAGAGGGAGGGAGACACAGAATCCGAAGCAGGTTCCAAGCTCCGAGCTGTCAGCACACAGCCTGAAGTGGGACTCGAACCCAAGAACTGTGGGACCATGACCTGAGCTGAAGTTGGACACTTTACCGACTGAGCCACGCAGGCGCCCCTAATAATACTGACTTCTATTTGCATTATATCACTTTAATTTCATTAGCACTTTCATATCAACTGCCTTATTTGATAAAAAGATCCCGTCAGGTAAACAAGGCAGGTATGACGGTTCTCACTTTCAAATACGGACACCACCGCCTCAGCAACGACTGCCATCCCTGCGGTCAGAGAAAGCACCGGTAGCAGAGCCAGCATCCCAGCAGAGTGCTCCTCCCTCCGAGTCCATGGCTACCGCGGAGCCTCCCCCCCCCCC